CAATCCGACATTGTACGCGCTCTCACGGTCCTCGCCAGAAAGTTCGCCGAAAAGTTTACCGGCCACCGGAGTTGCTGTTGGAGCTCACCAGAGCTCATCGGAGTTTCTGCCGGAAGTTCGCCGGACCGGTGACCAGAGGAAGGTTGAAGACGACGGAATATTTCATTCCGTTAAAGAATATTCTATCTCAGTTAAAACATATTCCTAAAGCATATTCCATCCACAGAATATTCTTAGAGAATATTCCATCCAGGGAATATTCTGTCACCGTCAGCATATTCCGTCAAGTTTAACGGAATATTCCATTAAGTTACCAAAAACTTTCTGAGTCAATTCTGAGCTCATTTTAGCTCCATTTTTGGTGAACCAAGACTCTTTCCCAGCTATTTCAACCGTTTCGGACGCAACGGTGCACTCCGTTTTGCAAAATTCAACTCCAAAATTTTTTGATTGAGACATTTAGAGTCTAAAAACTCAATATGTCCACCGAAGAATCAACATCGGGAGCCATGATCAAACTCACTGCCTCTAATTATACACTTTGGAGACCTCAGATGGAAGATCTCCTAAGTTGTAAAGACTTGTACGATCCCTTGGAGGCAAAAGGTGTAAATTCATATCCGACAAAAGAAACGGAGTGGAAGAAACTGAACAGAAAAACCATCGGTCAAATCAGGCAATGGATTGACCACAATGTATTCCACCATGCACAAGAGACTGATGCACATGTCCTCTGGAAGAAGCTGGAAGACATGTACCAGGCCAAGACTGCTCGGAATAAAGCCCTTTTGATGAGGCGGTTTGTGAATCTGAAGTTAAAAAGTGGAACTTCAATTGCCGAGCACACTAGTGAGTTTAAGAGTCTGGTAAATCAATTATCATCGATAGAGTTGAATCTGGGAGATGAAGTACAAGCTCTCTTACTTCTCAGTTCTCTACTAGACAGCTGGGAGACACTGGTAGTCTCTCTCAGCAATTCGGCTCCAAGAGGCAAAATTACCATGTCAATGGTTAAGGATGCCCTGTTCAATGAGGAGGCCAGGAGAAAGGATGTTGGCATTGACTAGTCAAATGCCCTCATCACTGAGAGCAGAGGCAGATATCAAGGAGGTAACAGAGGCAGGGGAAGAGCAAGAAGTAAGAGTAAAGGAAAGTCACAAGATCCAGGGAGATCAAATGACGGAGGAAGACCTACATACAAGTGTTACCATTGTGGCTTGCAAGGTCACAAGAAGAAAAACTGCCGCAAGTTGCTACGAGAACAAGGCCAAGGCAGTAATCAGCCGAAGAAACAGGACGGAGAGACACCAGTCACTCTCGTAGAGGACGTGGCTATCCTTTCTGTCAATGAGGAGACATGCCTTCATTTTTCCAACCATGACGCTGAGTGGGTGGTAGATACTGCAGCTTCATACCACGCCACTTCTCACAACGATTTCTTCTCAACATACAAAGCCGGAGACTTTGGTACGGTGAGGATGGGAAACACCAGTTCTTTCAAGATCGTGGGAATTGGTGATATTCAGATAAAAACAAATGTTGGGTGTACATTGGTATTGAAGGATGTCTGACACGTGCCTGACCTTCGGCTAAATCTACTTTCTGGGATAGCCCTCGACAGACAGGGCTATGATAACCACTTCAGCAATGGCACATGGAAGCTCACGAAAGGTGCCTTGGTTGTCGCCCGAGGACATATTTGTGGCACGCTTTACAAGACCCATGTGAAGGTTTGCTCAGACAGCCTCAATGCAGTTGAAAATGAGGCTTCACCAAATCTGTGGCACTAGAGACTTGGTCACATGGGAGAAAAAGAATTATTTACCTTGGCAAAGAAGAATCTCATCACAGTTGCCAAGGATGTTGCACCAAATCCTTGTGATCATTGCTTGTTTGGTAAACAACATCGAATCTCGTTCAGTTCCTCTATGAAGAGGAGATCAGAGTTGTTAAACCTGGTACACTCTGATGTTTGCGGTCCTCTGGAGGTGGAATCATTGGGCGGCAACAGATATTTTCTGACCTTTATTGATGATGCTTCACGGAAGGTATGGGTGTACTTCCTAAAGACGAAGGACCAAGTACATTAATGCTTCAAAAGATTTCATGCCATGGTAGAGCGAAAAACAGGAACGAAGCTAAAGTGTCTCCGAACAGATAATAGAGGCGAATATACTTTCAGAGAGTTTGAAGCATACTGTGAAAATTATGATATCAGACATGAGAAGACTGTTCCACGTACCCCACAGCACAATGGAGTAGCGGAGAGGATGAATCGAACCATTGTGGAAAGAGCTCGATGCATGCTCAGTATGCAAAGCTGCCAAAGCCATTCTGGGGTGAAGCTATTCGTACCGCATGTTATCTGATAAACAGATCACCGTCAGTACCATTGAATTTTGATATTCCGGAGAAGATGTGGTCTGGTAGGAATCCTACCTATTCTCACTTAAGAATTTTTGGGTGCAAAACATTTGCACATGTATCCAAAGAGCAAAGGTAGAAACTTGACGTCAAGACCACTCCATGCATCTTTATAGGCAACAGAGATGAAGAATTTGGATACAGATTGTAGGACTCAAAAGCCAAAAAGATCATCAGGAGCAGAGACGTGGTGTTCCATGAAAACCAGGCATATGAGGATTTTGAAAATCCCACAAAGTCCAGCAGTTCTAGTTCCAGTGCACAGGAAATTGTTTCAGACCCTGCACCATTACAGTTTGCCATAGATAATGACAAAGTGCAAGATGAAACTACAAAAGCAGAGCAAGATGATGATGAAGGTGTTGAGCAGTGGGAGCAACAACCCCTCCACCAGATGTTACAGGACCATCACAGCAGTCAGAGGATGGTGTACCTCATATAGCTGACGAGCCTCAATCACGAAGATCCGAAAGAGGATGCATTCTGTCGAGTAAATATCCGGAGTCAGACTATATTCTGCTTACTGATGAGGGGGAGCCGGAGAGCTTCCAAGAGGCACAAGCTCATACGGATAAAGACAAGTGGATGCAAGCCATGCAGGATGAGATGGATTCCCTGCAGACAAATCAAACCTATGAGCTTGTGAAACTTCCAAAAGGTAAGAAAGTACTAAGGAATAAATGGGTGTTCAAGCTGAAAAAAGATGGCAGTGGAAAATTGGTGAAGTATAAAGCTCGATTGGTCGTTAAAGGATTCCAACAAAAGAAAGGTATTAACTTTGACGAGATTTTCTCACTAGTTGTTAAGATGACCTCAATTCGAGTCATTCTCGGATTAGTAGCCAGTTTAAACTTAGAGCTTGAACAAATGGACGTGAAAACTGCATTTCTTCATGGAGAACTGAATGAAGAAATCTATATGGAACAACCGGAAGGTTTCGAAGTTCCAAGAAAGGAAAATCTGGTCTGCAAATTGAAGAAGAGTCTATACGGCCTCAAACAAGTGCCCCGACAGTGGTATAAGAAATTTGACTCATTCATAGTGGGTCAAGGCTACAAGAGGACTGCTGCAGATCAGTGTGTTTACGTTCAGAGATTCTCAGATGGCAATTTCGTTGCACTTCTACTTTATGTTGACGACATGTTGATCGTCGAAAAGGATGTAATAAAGATTAGTCAGTTGAAGAAGGAACTGTCCAAGTCCTTTGACATGAAGGACTTAGGCCCAGCTCAGCAGATATTAGGCATCCAGATTGTTCATGATAGGAAAACCAAGAAATTGTGGCTATCACAGGAGAAATATGTTGAACGGGTGATCCAGAGGTTCACCATGGATACTGCCAAGCCAGTCAGCATCCCACTAGCTAATAATTTCAAGCTGGGCAAGAATTTATGTCCCTCATCAAAGAAGGAGATAGAAGATATGACACTGATTCCTTACTCTTCAGCAGTTGGCAGTCTAATGTATGCAATGGTGTGTACAAAGCCAGATATTGCCCATGTAGTGGGTATGGTGAGTAGATTCCTTTCCAATCCAGGGAAAGAACACTGGGAGGCGGTCAAGTGGATTCTCAGATACCTTAAGGGTACATCAAAGATATGTCTGTGTTACTGGGGAGTCGAACCAGTTTTGGAAGGCTATACAGATTCAGATATGGCAGGAGATCTTGATGGTAGAAAATCTACATCAGGATTTCTGTACACTTTTGTAGGGGGAGCTGTGTCATGGCAGTCATGGTTGCAGAAGTGCATAGTTTTATCCACGACAGAGGCAGAGTATATTGCAGCAGCGGAAGCTGGTAAGGAAATGTTGTGGTTAAAGCGGTTTCTCCAAGAACTAGGTATTAAGCAGAAAGAATACAAGGTGCATTACGATAGTCAAAGTACTCTGGACTTGAGCAAGAACTCAATGTACCATTCCGGACAAAGCATATTGATATTCACTATCATTGGATATGCGAAGTGATGGAGCAACAGTTATTGAAACTAGTGAAGATCCACACAAAGGAGAATCCAGCAGACATGTTAACAAAGGTCGTCACTCGGGAGAAGCTTGAGCTGTGCAGAGACATAGCCGAGATGAATGTCTAATTACATTCTCTTCTGATGGTTCTGGAGGGGCAGAATTGAAGGTCCAACTCCATCACAAGGCTACCCAGTAGCTCATGGCAGTAGCCACCCTATGGACAGCTTACCGATGGACTGGTTGGTGGTGGACAGGTGAAGCTTTGACAAAGCTTGCCCAAGCTTTAAATTGTGTTCCCATCTCCTTGACTTATTTAGCCAGAAAACTCCCTATAAATAGGAAACTTAGTGAAGGCGAATGGCATGGTTCAAGTTTAGTGAGGAAGAAAGAGAGAGAGAGATTCGGGAGAGATCTCAGTGAGAATTTTTTTTTGTAATAATTCTTGTATTTTATTTCCAAAGAGAAATAGAGATATCCTCTTTGTTTATATCTTGTTTGTGGTATTTTTCTGCCCCTGGGTATCCAACAAGTATATCCTAACTAAAGATAGTTGCTGAAAAATATGGAAATAATTCCGTGAATTAAGCATAGCTAGCTGTTGTCCAACGGGTTCAGCTTGTGTCGATGGCTTGGATGGCATAGCTTCTACAAACATTACTGAAGATCAAACACAATATTTCTCTCATAGTTGGCTACTAATCAACACTGAACACACAAGAACAGATGATTAAACTGGGGATAGATTATTTTACCAGCAAAAATGAAATAGGGCCGCCTCCGGTACCCAATGATGGGAATAGTATCAGTTAAAAGACCCCAGAGAGGCTTGACAATCCAAGGTATTTGAATTATCCCACCAATAACCTGTGCTTCAGAGGGTCGTAACTTCTGATCATCCTTCATGTAGTACTGTATGCTAATACGACTCAGACCCATACTCAAACCCTGATTGATTCCATAAACAATCACCACACCCAACACAAAGCTCCAATGCAACTCATCACTAAGCATTCTAAACCAATAAATGGGTCTCAATACAAAACCCCAAAACCCCTCTTTTGGCTGTCTCCTCTGTCTCTGAGGCTGTCCCTCAAGCTGAACAGTCTCTTCTTCATCCATCCTGCAACTTGTTTCACATATAGTGTACACAATTATGATTAAAAAAAAATGAGACCCAGATCTGAAATGGGTTTGAATCGAGAAAAGGATGCTATAGTTCGATCAGAAATCATTGTTTCTTGAACTGGGTATCTCAAATTTAAACGACATGATTGCGAAAGGAAAAATATATAGAAGACGAAGGAGAAGTTGGCCCGACAACGGAGAAGATTTCAGTAAATAAATAATTTTCGGACCAGTAGGATCTCTCCGTGTCTGTTGACTCAGTTCATACCCCATTGCTCACGGATCTGTCTCACTTGAAAGTCAAAACACAAAGAAGGGACAAGAATACACTCCTATGTAGCCTGCATTGTTGAACTATGAATCCCACACACGACACAAGTTTCAAAAATTGATTCCATTGATAATTATGTATAATAAATATATGAGTAAATTTTATTTTATTTTATTTTTTAAAAAAATATAAAAAATCTGAGTTTGTTCTCAAATAATTAATTTTTTTCGTATTGCCGTCCCAAAAAGAAATAAAAATATTATAATGTGATCTATCATCTTATTTTTGTTTGGTTGTCCATCTATGTTTGTGATTCTTCATTAGTTAATTTAAAACAAAACAAAAAGATGATTAAAACAAAACAAAAAGATGATTAAATTCTTAGTTTGTCCTCTGATTAAATCATTCAGAGGACAAACTAAGAATTTTTGTATTTTTCAAGCGACAAAATGAAATTTTTTCTAAATAGATTGAATTAATATTTGACACTTATAATATATTAAATAAAAATATTTTTATATGACACAAATTACAATGAGACAAACACGATACGAATTATAATGACACAACACAAAAATAACAACAACCTATTTGGGGTGCTGAAAACCTTTTTTTTTTTTTTAAGTATCAAAGAAAAAGAAGTTCGTTTGGATTCGAGTTTATTGGATGGCTTTCCATTAAATTAAATTGTTTTATTAGCACCAAGGAAAAGCTAAAAAATAAGGGCTTATCCAATAGCTTATAAGAAAAAAACGGTTTTTTTCAAAAACACTCCAAACGATTACAAAAAAAATTGTGACTCTGAATTTTTCATTTCATTTTTTAAATATCTGTTTTGCACTAAAAAAAATCAACTTCAAACGGGCTCATTATATCCATAACATGACACAATACGATACGAAACAAATTGATACTCTAGTTTGTCCCTTAAATTAATCTTTTTTGTTTGGGTATCAAATTAGAGAAAATTTAATATAGGAGGAGCCAAGTGAAATTTGGGACACCCAAATTGAATCTTTAGCCAAAGGGTTAAAGACTCCTTAGAAGCAGTGGGGTTGGGATTAGGAATTGTGAAAACTCATAACTATGACCAATGTAGAGACAAAGACCAAAAAAAAGCCTACAATGTTGAATTTAGTACCTATTTTTCATTCCTAATTTGTTTTTTCGCCCAACCTAGTGATAGTCATGCATTGTTTACTTATATATAAGTGAACTATCTTATGAATAAGAATATTCAAACCTTAATTATTCAATGTGTTTTAAAATCATATGAGCTTAACTTAAAATGAACCATACTTATTAGGTTCACATTCATTGACTTGTGTTTTGCCCTATAACAAAATTAAAGTTATAGATAATAATGAGGTTGGTCAATCTTTATAGTGTGGATTGAGTAAAAATTTTACTTTAAACGTATTTGGATCACGATCGAATTAATCATTCACCCATTATTTATTGCACAAAAAATAATTTTCAAATCTATGAAGTGTATAAAAACTAGAGTCCTTATTGCAAATATATTATGAGGTCATATATTTCTGATGAAACTAACAAATTTACCTAACAAAACTCTCAAATCGTAAGTATGCAAAATACCAGAATTCATGATCTTTTAAAGAAAAACCAATTGTGGAGATTTTTTTTTCTCCTATCCAATGGTGAAACTTTAAGTGTTTAAATAAGCGGGGTAAATTGTTAGTATACATACAAAAATAGGATTTAAATTTTACTTTAGCATTTTATGTATATATTTCCATCATTCAATTTTTTTTTTTAATGATTTGATAAAAAAAAAAATTAATCTTTTATGTTTTGTATCAATTTAGAGACAATTTAGTTTAGGAGCCAAGTGAAATTTGGTACACCCAAATTGAATAATTTGGTTTAAATCTTTAGCCAAAGGGTTAAAGACTCCTTAGAAACCGATTTCGATAACATATTGGAGTCTGAACATAATAAATTTATCAATCATGAATTTACAGTTCGATATAAATGTTTTATCTTTAATTAAATCAAAAAATAAATTAATCGAAATATGCATAAATTGAGATTTTGAATTGTGAAATCTCGTAACTATGATTAACATAGAGACAAAGACTCATAAAAGACTTACAGTACTGAATTTAATACCTATTTTTCTATCCTAATTTATTTTTCGACCAACCTACTGGCTACTGCTTGATAATTCATTTCTAAACCTAATTGTAATTTTTTTTTTTTGAACTGAACCTATTTGTAATTCAGTCGAAGGAAAGCCATTGTTATAATGTTTTGGTTGTTATCCGTCCCATGTATGACCCGACCCATATTCAGAATAATTGCTTTACATATCCGATAGACTATGCCAGAAACTAGTGGCTGTGTTGTGGACACTCACTCGGCAATGAAAATCTGAATCAGAGTTAATATAGAAAGTAACAGATCAGAGAGAAAAAATGTTCCCCAGAGATAACCATGGCCACCACAATCTCACTCTTACCCTCTGCTAGCTCTTGCTCTTCTCTTTGGTACCAACTTACAAAGCCCACTTCGAGAATTCGATTCAGCTTCAGGGTTAGGGCATCATCATCATCTGCCATGGCCTCCGCCGCTGCCACCACTACCAAAGTGGTGCCTGCCGTCATAGTCGGCGGTGGACGTGTGGGAAAAGCATTACAGGAGATGGGTAATGGTGATGATGTGTTGGTGAAGAGGGGAGAGTCTGTGCCGCTTGATTTCGCTGGACCGATATTGGTCTGCACTAGAAATGATGATCTTGAGGCCGTCCTGGAGTCCACACCTCAGTCTCGATGGGGCGGTAGGTTTATGTACCTCCACACCTGATCATTTCTGTGTTTTTTGATTTGGATACATGTAGTGAATGGTTTTAACAATGTAAAATTTACATTCCCCAAAATTACTGTTGCATTAAGTTTTTTGTTTTTGTTTTTGTTAATGTCAGAAAGTAGTTTGTAGCATTAAGTTAGTACCCGATATTAAAGTTTGTTATGATGTGAAAGATGACTGATAAGATACCCCCTTTTGTTTCGATGTAAAATGTTTTAAGCCTAAAATATGCTACCATGATGGAAAATTCATTTCTTCTCATTTTACGGGGTTTGGTTGATGTTTTTGGAAATAGTTTGCTTAACTAATGTCAGAGGTATATAGGTTTATAACATGAGCATGTGAATAATTTTTTATATTAATATGTAGGCAGCAATGAATATATATACGTTTTCTTGATTCTGTATGCATGTATATTGTATTTGCTGATAAATTTAGACATGTAAGTCGTGAGTGTTTACTGCAAAGAATGCCTTATATTGAAAGTATCTGAAAGTCATTTTCTCGATTTTTAGGCTTTTTTCTTTGTGTAAAACATTTTAGATGCAACTAAATGCCCAAAAAAGAAGAAATGTTCTCGCAAAACTGTTTAATGTGAATAAAATGGAGCTCAAATTGAGTTTATCTGCTATTGCAATGCAATTTTATTCAATTATTTAGTAGTTGATGGTAATGTGTTCAATTTTATCTTGCCGCTCTATCATTTTATTAAACATCATAAACTGTAATTTAATGGGCCACATAACATTTAGATATCAGTTGATGTAAATGTTAAAAGCATAGTTAGTTTGTAGTGTGATGCTTCCATGGATACTAAATGGTACCTAAGCCCAACTTCATATGATTGTCGAGTGGGCATGACTGAATGATGCGATTGATTTGATCAAAGTGTGTGGTTTATGATTTCTATTTTGATTTGATGTTTTACTAGGTCATTTTGGTTTACCCTTGCAAGTTGTAATAAGCTTAGCTGCAATCCAATATAATTACTGAAGAACCACTTTGCAAAATTTTTGGGGATTATAGTTGATGGGTTTGTATGTACCATATCATGTGATGGATCTTAACAATCTAGCAGATTTGGTTTTTTTCCAGAATGGAATGCTGGAGCCATGGTTTCATAGTAAAGGTATAGGGGAAGCAGACCAAGTTTTGGCATATTTTGCAATATCAAAGCTTGGTGAACCTCCCATCGATGGTAAGACCGACACAGATCCTGGGGGATTGACAGCGGCTTATGGGAAATGGGCATCTGCAGTGGCTGCAAGATTACGTGCTGGAGGCCTTTCTTGCAAGGTAAAGGATGCATTTTGTGCAATACGCAGTTGAGACTAGTTTATATGCGAGGTTGAAGCTTCATTCAAGAGTAAAACCTCAGTGCAACTATAAAACAAACTTAGTTTGTGGAGTCTAGGTGCATCCACAATCATGGTGTGAGGAACTTCATTTGAAATGATGCTAGGATTCGTTTGGCATTTGTAATGCAAACCCACCTTAGTTCACCCCATCTCTCTTTCTTCTTTTTTCCAAACCCGTGGTACCAAAATTATTTTTTTCTCTCCAAACATTACTGCTATGAAGCACGGGCACTCTCAAATAGGTGACGTATCCATGTCGGTTACCGATACTTCTTAGACATTTGTCTGATATTCTTTTATCCGTAACCATAATTAAATGATAAAATTTTAATTTTAGACACGTATCCGACACTTTTTTAGACCATGTTTATTACAAAATAATAAACAGGTGTTGATATGTGATTAACAAAACTTAAAAATTTGACTATTAAGTATCTTATACTATGAGAGAATATATAATTACCAAGACTAGACATGTTAAAGTTATATTCAAAATATAATAACAAAAGTAAAGAATGCATAAATGATTTAGAAAAGAACAATTGAGAAAATGAGAGCAATTATTTACATTATATATGTATTTGTATAGTAAAAGTCTATGAAAAAATTTATGATTTATGATTATTGATTATTATGATATTGGTCTAAAAATTCACATTAAATAACTAGACATAACATTTACTTATCATCAAAAAAAATATATATATTTTTTTATGAATAATAAATCATTATCACTATATTTGTAATGAATTATATAACTTTATATATAAAACACAATTATCTGTAACATATCTTCAGCGTGTTTATGTTTTATTTTTTTGAGAAATGTTGTGTTTGTGTGCCAGTATTGTGTCATGTTTGTGTCCATATTTTGTAGCATAACAATCCTGGCAATAGGGATTCATATACTTCTTCATGTTTTTATTGTTGCTTGGACACTTTACCATGATGTGTCTCATAAAAAGTGTTGACTATTTGCCAAGACCACTAGCTAAAAGCTGGAGGCCAATGCCCTTTACTCAGTATTTTGTATTATGACTTTCAACCAAGTTTTATAATGCTCTTGGTATCTGATTTAAAACCAGGTTCTTGACAAGGAAGCCTTCCAGAAGCAGATGTTGGAGAAGCTTATATGGATATGTGCATTTATGCTTGTTGGAGCTCGTCATCCCGGAGCAACTGTAGGTGCTGTGGAGAAGGAATTCCACTCGGAGGTAAGGTCACTTTCACTACCAAGTATTAGCAATTATCTGAAACGTGAGATCAAGTTCCACCACATATTCTGATCATATTTTCTAGCTGTGATCAAAATATAAAAATAAAAAATAAAAAATCTGCTTTGTCACATTTTGCAAAGTCAACAAGTGTATCCCGATAAAAGTGTTTCTGTAAGATACCACATTTCTTGGTAAAGTCTCCCTGAAGTCATACCTTAGACCTGGCATTCACTTGCTAAAACATGATTGAAGGCTGCCACAAACCGCTTTTCTGGCAATTGGCTATTCCTGTCCACTTCGTGATTGGCTTTAGAGCCTGTAAGTGCTGCACCAATGAGCTGAAAGCAAGATATTTAGCTGAACCAGTTACTCACAGAAAATTTACTTTTCTGTCAAAAATGCTGAATGATTGGACCAGCCATATTCGCTGAGGGGCCAAATAGAAGTTTTATTGGACTGCCTTAACCAATATGAAGCTATTTTCAAGATAGACAAACAGTTTGGTAGTTTATATCGCATGGGATTGAGAATCCTGACATATGTCCATTTATCTAACCAATAAATTGAATTAATCATTATGTGATGACCAACATGTGATGAATGCATCATCATATTCTGTTCAAAATCACTTGCATCAAAATGGATAAGAGTCTTGCTAGTGACATTGACTACTTGAAAATTTGATTTGCTCTGTTTCAGGATAATACCTTTGTTCAAAATCACTTGAATCCGGTCTTTCTTATTGATGTTTACTACTCGAAAATTTGCTTTATTTTGATCCTTGTGTTTCTACTAGTTCTTGATCATTGATTGAAAGATGATTTTTTTTTCCTCTATATTTTACTTTCCTTTTCGTAATGCATCCATGATTTGATCTGCCGGACATTAAACAAGGACTATTGGGAGCTTTTAGATTGTTTAGTTAATGGACACCACAGGTAGTGCGCTAAAATTGCTTATTTTGTGTTAGTTCTGAGTTTGGGAAGTCTGATCTACAAGGTTTGTGGGTTTTTAGTGATACTGAATGAAATTAGACACTGCTCTTTTTTTATTGGCTGGTTCTATTTATCAGACTTGGGTTGGGTCATTAAAGGTGCCACCCTGGTGAACTTCAGTTTTTATCTACACGGGACATGGGTAATTGGGCAAGGGCATCAAAGTGCTTCTATTCCCACTCAATTTATTTTCTTCAGTATGCGAGGCAGCAGAATATGCGCCAATGTAGCCAATAGAAGTCAAAAATTAATTGATATTTTCTGCTTTCAGGTGTCTAGCCTAATTGCTGAACTGGCAGCTGCAGCTGCAGCAGAAAAGGATTTGGTTTTTGAAGCAGCCATGGAGGATAGGTTATGTGCTTACTCACGGGCGGTTGCTCACTTCCCAACAGCAGTGAAGGAGGTAAAGACCGTAAATTTATGAGATTCTATAACAAAATGTACTGTAATTTGTTCCTGATCATTAAGTGTGCCTAATTCTTGCAGTTCAACTGGAGAAATGGTTGGTTCTATTCACTTTCCGAGAAAGCCATTGCAGAAGGGAAACCGGATCCATGTCCACTCCACACAGCATGGCTCAAAGAACTGAAAATCGTCTAGACTTATTGTGTACCTTTGGATCAGAACTCTTAGAGGAATAGTTGCTTAATGTGATTGAATTGTCTTTAATATACGACTTAAAAGTGTCTACTTTTGTAACTACTTCAAATTTCAACTGAAATGGTGGTTCCTTCCTCTGCATTCACAGGTGTTTTTAGCTCTATAATAGACAAAAGGGTTGAGAATGTGTTCTCTTAATAAATGCAGGAACTTGGTTGCAGTGCGTCAACTTTTTTCCTACATTTTCTTCTTTTCTGGATGCTAATTGTCAATTCATTTACAGTACTATGGCTTATATTATTCAATTATAGTTATACAGAAAGTTGCCCGTTTTGGGGTGGGGGGGAGTCTACGCTACAATTGGTGACACCGTACCAAAATTTGTAACTTTTTGTGGTCTAAGTTAAAACTTTTTAGATGTGTAAGATACAACTTTAAGAAGCATGATCGATCATGATCTTCTCCTGACTAGTTATAACTTTTCATTTCAAAGTTATAATTTTATCATAAAAAGTGATAATTGACAGTATTGATACTGAAAAAAAAATTTGACTTTCCCCTGTTTAGGGGGCTCTAATTCACTCAAATTTACGTCAACATAACGCTTCATTTTCAGTGAAGTTACCAGAGAGGTACATCCACTTCCCTAGTCAGCTTAGATGAGTACTAAAAATCCTGAAAAAGCCCACATTCAAGTACAAAAATGACCAGGATTTAACTAGGGTAAAATACATAAAAAGGAGCTTCAATATAAAAACCACAAAGCTCGAATTTGGAAACTAGAAAGTCAATTTTACATAGTTTTATCCAGTGTGCAGATATATTATTTCCGTGATTCGAACATTAAAATAAGTCACTGCCTATTTAGTTTTTGCAAATATACCATAATTTTCCTTGAGAATACAGCTCATTAATGTCTCCAAAAGACCACAATCCTGCAACTACACAAATAAGAGAATTGACTATGGTGGTCATACTGATCAAAAGAAAAAAACCTATGGTGATCATAAGGTTTTTCAAAACATATCTTTTTACCAATTCATGTGTACATAGCCAAAAACTAATGATCTCATTAAAACCCCAAACCACCTAATTGGGTGGGTTATCAAACCACACTACCTAAAATTGAAACCCCCAAGAGAAACAACCAACAGTAAGCAAAACCACTATTAGCTGGATAGTCATTTCATACTAGAAGAATTTCAATTTCCCTTTGGCCAAAGATGCTTTTGCTTGCTCCACATGACACAATGCTTTTTGTGTTCCACTCAATCCGGAGCATGCGTCGTCAGCCCCCAGAGTGACAGCGAAGTATAAGTATATAGTGCAGAGGAAAGCTAAGAGGGCAAGAGCAGTGAGCAGGAAGCGATGCCGCTGAAGGAGTGTTGAACAACTTCCAAAATCATTCCCTCTCGAGTATTGTCTCCTAAATGATGGTGAAGAGACTGCGTTCTGTGACCTCCGATGCGGGGAAGTTATTATACCGTCGAGAGCCATAGCTTCTTATCCACGGACCTTCCTCTGTTGCACTAGAGTTTCCAAGCCTGTTCCAATTAAACAAGTACAATAGCGTCATTCAGTAGACTTTCAATAGATAATAATTAGATATTAATGACCAAGTCTCCAAAATATAATTACAATTCAAATGTGCCAGGCACCATTTAGGTCATTTATAAACTTTAAGTTCTCTCGAACAATAAATTTGCAAATGAACTTGAGGATGAATCTTTGAAAAGAAACAAGACAGCTATTATTAGCACTAATAATAGAAGCCCCAACAAGGGAGTAAGTTGAGCAAAAGATTAACATCAAGGTGTTTTGTTGCATCTATAGACACCAGGCTCTGCTCTTAAGTAGTCAAGAACAACCTAGACTAACCAAATATCTTCTTTTTAAACCCCAAAAGGTAGTGTAACCAAACATCAGCAGTCAGTAAATTCAAATTAACCACAAGGGCAGAATTTAGAAATTTAAATTAACCAGAAGGGCAGCAATGACAGAAAGGTTTTACTTGTTAACATGAATAAAGGAACAACAAGTCACGTTGATGATAGAACTTTTGGATTACCAAAAAGAAACTCATGAAGACAGCCTTTGTTTAGTCTTCATGACTAAAACCCTTCTCCAAAACTTAGCAAAGCATGTAAAAAAAGGCTTGTATCAAGAAGTGAATCATTTAGAAGCAATACTCCATAATTCCAAAGATGCAAAGTACGCAACACAATAATTGAAGACAGCTATGGTTGATTTCATATGAACATGTACTAAATACCTCTCTTGCACCCATACTAGTATATTTTTTTATTCTCATCAGTGCTCCACAGCATTTCTTTAAAACTAAACCACATCTCAGATGGGCCAACATTTTCTGATAAATCTAATGCTTTTCTTTCAGAGTTCAGAAATAGCATCAATAAATCTGGGGAAGTTGAGGGACCATGATACTATAATCAATGATTTCATGCTCCACAGATTGCTTTGCTTTCTGCCTTTGTTTACAATAATGTATGAGATCAAAGATTCTATCTTCCACTTCCCTCCTATTCACATAAATACTAATCTCCAATTCCACTCAGTTGGTAGATCATGTTCATTTAGTAGTCTCTAACAGGAAAAATTAAACTCCAAAAAAAAAAAAAAAAAAAAAACACTTGTCCATGCCCATTTTGCGCATTAAATGAAAGTAATAGTTTTCGTCTTACCTCCAATTCACAACTTTCCATTCAAACCCAAAAGTGACCTATTCAATCACAAAAGACATTATAACCTCAATATCTTGCAAAAAGTTCACATCTGTCAGTCGACTAATTCCATAACTCCAACAACCATAAACAATTACACCATACCCAGAAAATTAAAACAACACAAGTTCAAGATCAATCCATTAAAACGATCATAGCAAGTAGAATCAAATAAAACCAAAAAAGGGGGGATTTCTAAAACAACACAGATCTGCATTTAAAAAGCTTCAACATGAAGCAAACATGAATATAATCGCAAGGAAAGAAGGGAAAACAGAAAAAGGGTCTTACAAATGAAGAAAAACGAAGATGAAAAGGCCACCAAATCGATAGCGTAGAATTAAAGACGGTGATGCCGTTGAAGTGGTGCTGTTCTGCTTTACATAGATATCAATGAATGAATGGATGAATGGAATTGAAACGTTCAAAACAGATATTTTTACAAATGAATTTTATATTCCTCATTGACTGTGTGCATGCATCCTTGCGTCTCGGCTCAATGAGCGGAGATGCCGGAGACCAATCGTCCACGCACTTTCCAATTTGGGAGAGAGACTGAGACCTGACCTAATTGGCGTCTTGGGGGTTGTTCTTGAATTTTAGACTAGAGGTCAACCTAGACTAATCGGATATAATCTATCCTAACCCTAACCTTCTCTCAACGCAATTACTCAACTTGACTATTGCCCGAGTTCAATTCGGGTGAACTTATGTTAAATTTAATTTATTTATTTTTGGTTGATTTGTAGTTAAAAATTGGATTGGACTTGAATTACTTAATTTGAGTTGATTTTTTTAATTGTAGATCTAATTTTTTTAAGTGATCTGAGATAAAGGGCGAGACGCATATAAAGAAAAAGAGAGTGTGAGAAGAAGAAGTGATGAGTGAGAGAAGGAGGTTGAGAGTCTGAGACAACTCAAATGAGTGACCATTGACAGAGGGAGGAGTGACAAGTGAGAGAGAGATTTGAGAGTGATGGAGGCGCATGAGTGAAAACTTAAAGTGAAGTGAAAGTTTGAATTATAAAGAGTAAAGATAAATACTAATTTTAGTTAAATATATTTATATATTTAAATATATTCGAGTTCAACCAGATTTTAATATTTGAGTTGAACCTGACAACCCGAAGTCTCAACCCAAGACTTACCCAAATTCAAATCGGGTTAGAATTTTTTTACCCAGACCTAATCCAAGTATTGAAAATTCTAACCCAAGTCTTTTTTTTTTTTTGGGTTGGGCTCGATTTGAATTTAGGTTGGCCAATCCAAGTTGCACCCCTATTGGACAGGATTGTTTTTGTATTTTAGCCTGGCAATTGGGAGGTTCTCGAACCGAGTAGACCTCTTGAGTTGGAAATTTGGGAATCCTTGGAACTAGGTCTTGGACCTAATTAAGGAAAGGATTAGTTGAGGCGTGTATAAATTGGGCCGAACATCTCTAACCGTGGAACCAAAAAAATAAAATATCCGATATAACAGTGACGCCACGTTATTACATGAATCATTAACACCACACGAAATTAAAATGTTTGAATTTTCTTTAACTCACAAATTTCATAAACGGGTGTATCTGATAATGACATAATTAATAAACGAATTAAATATAGATGAAACTAATCAAAAGAAATATAAAATATGTCTCATAATGCATATGCGAAACGAACTTGATATGACACGATTTATTAAACACGAATTAATATATGAATCGAGTATAAATAAAATATTTTTTGACATAAACCCTCTACTACTTAACACAAACCCACCTTACTGGCGCGATGAATAAGCCTACATGGTGTCACCAAGATAAATTTTTGGGAAAATTTCATCCACTTCCTATGTAGATAGGCCTAACTTCAATGACACCTTTTCTGAATTCTGAAATTTTACTGCATCTCCTTATAGTTTATATATTTATTTCAACTATACCTCTTACCACGACAAACCATTACTAACAACTAAAAAAGTGATGATATCATCTTGCTTTTCTTCAAAAATACAAATTTTACCCATTTCTTCTTAATACCACTTCTAATGCATCTTCGTCTCCAAAACACCACCACTTTGGCACCACCACAGACCAGCTAAACTAAATATACAACATTCTTTTTTTTTTCAATACCAATTCGTTGGTGAGGATATTATTATATTTAACAAAAATCCAAATTAGAGTTGAAAGCCTGAAAACTAAATCAAATTAGAGATTGATGTAGCAGCAAACATTCAGTCCAACAAATTTATCAAGCAAGCAAATTAGGGACAGACCAGCCAGTTGTTTTCACACATCACTCCCACCCACTTATACGTTGTCGAGAGAGAGAGAGAGAGAGAGAGAGTTCAGCCTCCACTCAGTGCCACACCCATGCCCAATCTATACCAAACTCACTTGACATCAACCATTCCCACAATGTGCACGCACATGCACTGTCGACTACTAGTTTTCACATGCCCACCACCACAACCCTTGCATTAAATGCCCATCACAAAACCTCTAAATTAATTTGATCTTTTTTTGCTCCTATCTCAACACAATCGGAAAAGGGTTGCTAGAGAGAGAGAGAGAAAGAGTTCAGCCTCCACTCAGCCCTACACTCATGCCCAATTTGTCCCAAACCACTTGACATTAATCATTCCCACAATGTGCACGCACACACACTGTTGACAATCAGCTTTCACATATCCACCACCACCAATCCACCACCACAACGCTTGCATCAACACCCATCACAAACCCCCCAAATCAATTTGATTTTGTTTTGCTCCTATTTTGACACGGATGGAAGGGTTTTGTGGAGAGATAGAGAGAGAAAGGCAAAAAAAGAGAACGTAGGGGGTGATGTGAGGAGGGTGTTGGATGACGTTATGGAGGGGCAGACGGTGACGAAAGAGGTGAGAATGGGTAAGGAGGGGTGGGTTAGGGGAAGGTTATATATATATATATTGTCCCTCTAAACCGGAAACAGTTATAGATGCTATAATAAAACTTCGTAAGAAAATATCTCGAAAAATCTCTGAAAATAGAATTAAGTCTCAACGGGAGAATCGTTGTTTTACTACTAATCACAAGTTTCTTGTTGGGCGTAATATTCATACTGAAAATTATGATCGAGATCGAGGATTTCTTTATCAACCATCATCTACTTCAGAGATCCCTCTGAAAACATTTTATATATATATATATATATATATATATATATATAAAGTTTAAGGATAAAGTGGTAAAAGAAGCATTTTTATCACGTCCGTTACTTAATTAAGACTAACAAGGGGTGTTAGAGAAATTTCAGAATTGAGAAGGAGTGTCATTGAAGTTATGCATATCTACAGGGGGTGGATGAATTTTTCCTAATTTTTTACATGAGTAATTATTAAATTTTATGAGATCCACTTTGCTCGCTTTGTGAACTAGTGATATCATGTGCTAGTGATGATTTTTTATTTTTATTACAGTGTGTTTAAGCTTGTGCCAATTAATCCTTCGAGCTCAGCGACCAATCATCGTAAGTTGAGCAGGTGTAAAGCATACCCCCAAAAGGGCAAGTGTAGCTAACCCTTAGGGTGTGAGAAGAGAGTAAAAACCTGAGATCTCTGAATTATCAAAAGAAATGACCAAATATTGAAACATTCATAAAAGTTAAAATGAATGTGGAGTCTAGTGAGAAGTCCTGATAGAAGCGTGGGGAGAGTTGTGAAAGATTCACTTCTAAATCCTTAGAACATCTTTAATTTGTTTTAAACTCAAATTTAAATTTGGGTAAAAAATTCTTAAAAACTTTCTCCAATATTAGATCCATACTTATATCAAATGAATGAATTTTTTTTTTTAGTTAAATTTATACCCAAATTTTTAATAGTGATATTTTATAGTCGTTTAAAAATTTAATGATCATATTTTACCCTCATTTAAATTTAAATTTTTTCATTTGCGAAGAAAACAAGTTTTTTACCCATTCTTTAACTCAAATTTAGATAAGAGTTTGAGTTTTCATTAGACAGTCTTAGTACTTTGTTTGATGCCTTTAACAATTACGATATTTTCTCACGAGGGCACTCTTTGGATCTTGCTGAGCAGTATAATCTCTTCATATAATTCTCGATAGACACAATCGTGAGTTGCAGTCCGAATGCCATCAAACAAGCTTCTTGCCAATGCCACTGCTTCGAAATAGAGGTTGGACATTGCGCGAATGACTTTAGCTCACCCATGTATCTCAGTGTTGAGTCTGATTGAACTGAATCATCCCATGCTATACATATACAATAAGGATGTTTGCCTTACATTGTCTATTTCATGTGATACGATACCATCTCAATTTTTAAAAATTTAATAGACTTCTTTATTTAATGATTCACGTTGAAATAGTAGAACCCCAAGGTTATGTTTGGCTCAGGTATTAAGGGGGTGAATTAGATTAACTTAATTCGGTAATAATATAATATTAAATTTGGATGAGTTTATACCGATCCAATATTAATTTTAATTAATCCCGATCTGATTAACTATCGTTATTTAACACCTAATATTCGGTAGTAATAAATATTATTTAGTAGGTGATATTATTTTTAACAAATTAAGTATTAAAAATACAATAATTTTATTATCCTTACAAATTTAGAGTCATACTTTCATATAAAAATTATAAATGATGTAAATTCTTACTCTCAATATTTATTTTGTTATTTTTAATTTAATATCATATACTATTACGTAATCTAAATATAAATTTGATATTATAATTATAGATTTGTATATTATCTCAACCTTGATTCAAACTTATTGTATAAGAATAAGATTAAATAGTACTCTTATTAACAACATTTTTATGTAAACTAATTAACCAATCAAATCTTTTATTTGTATCTGAACCAAACATGCCCATAAAATAATAATATTTTAATCCTCTTAAAAGTCTGCTAATATAAAAATAGCCCCCAATAGAAAAAATTTTCGGTAAGCACCCAACATAAATCTTCTTTACATATATAATGACTATTTGTGGGCTCCTCTAATCTAACAAATTACTCAACCGGGCATCTACAAGTGATAAAAAAGAATATCTAGCACCACTTTGATAGGCAATTGAATAAATATATATTAAAAAATATTACTTTTGATAAAAATTTAAATTTTTATTTGCCAAAATTTTCACGCCTATTATTTGGCTCACTTAAAGATAAAATCTTGGCCCTACCTCATCTATATAATAAAGTAACATATAATTCAAATTTCAAAAGATAAACAAAATGACTTTTATTTTTTGCGGTTCAGATCTCTTTAAATTTTATTTTAAAGTTAATTTAACGGCTAATATTAACACCTTAAATTTAATAAGAAAAATATGTCCTAAGAATGTGTTTGAAGTGACTTTTTAAAAATACTTCTAGAAATTATTTATCATAAGTATTTTTTAAAAAAATAATATTTGAAACCACCTCACTACTACCTCTATCACCACCATCAATACCTCTACCACCACCGCCGCCACCGCCACCGCCACTACTACCACAGTCATTACCACCCACCACCACCATTACTGTCTTCTATTACTACCACTGTCACGCACCACCTCTCACCCTCACTACAATCGATATTTAAATTTATTTATCTCTCCTATATGTTTGTGATTTGATTTTGAATATGAATGCAAATATGTTTATTGTTTACTATTTTTTATTACTATGTGCCTTTAAGTACAGACAATAACTTGTATATATATAATTTATGAAATATTTGAGATATCTAGAGAATAAATCCAAACGTTGAGGGGTGTCATTGTATTTTACTTTCCTTTTTCCAATTCCATCTAACTCACTCGTCCGAGTCTCCAAAGTCCAAACAGTCGGATATTTGACCGGGTCGCTCTAGGAAAATCCTCCCGGTTTATTATTCTAATCAGAGTCCTAGTCTTGTAAAGCTATCTATTCTCTTCGCTTATTCTTTTCTTCTCCACACAACCACCTTGATCGTCATCGTCTTCGTGCTCGGTGTTCGTCCAATCGCAAAAGGTACTTCTCTCTCTCTCTGTCTTCACTTGCACATGTATGTGTCGATCAATTTGTTTGAATCTTGCAATTTTCAGTTTTACCAATAGGGTTATCATCGTCTTTATTAACCTAAAAGGTTTTAAATCGAATTTTTTTTTTCACTTGATTTACAGAAGAATGATTGAATTTGTGTTGTTAATTGTTGATGACGGTTATGGTGATTGATCGGGGTTTGGTTTTGTGATCTTAGGGTTTGTAAGGGCGTGGTTCTGAGTTTGATCGTTGGGAGAGGGAAGATAAGATGTGGGCTGCTTCTTGCCTTGCGTCATGTTGTGCGGCGTGCGCATGCGACGCGTGCCGAACGGTCGTGTCCGGGATTAGCAGGAAATCCGCTCGGATTGCTTATTGTGGCCTCTTCGCACTCTCGCTAACCGTCTCGTGGATTCTTAGGGAGGTTGCTGCACCTCTCATGGAGAAAATTCCATGTAAGATGGTTCGAATTCTTCATCCTGATGAGTGTTATTTGAAAGTTATTGAAGAATTTAATCTTTCACTACATACGCGTTAAAATTGACATGCTAATTTGTGTAGTACAAACACGGTCCGAACAAATTTGAGGATCATAAGTTGATTCGGACACAATTTATATGGAGAACTTACTGATGTTTTGCACAACCAGTGAATTCTTAGATTTATCCTTTGCAGGTGGTTACTGGTTAATGATAAAGCTGATCTCTCATTGATTTTATGTGCAGGGATTAATCATTTTCACAAAACGCCCGATAGAGAGTGGTTCGAAACAGATGCAGTGCTGCGAGTTAGCTTGGGGAACTTCCTATTCTTCACTATTTTAGCTGTTATGATGATTGGTGTGAAAAATCAGAAGGATCCTCGCGATAAGTTGCACCATGGTGGATGGATGATGAAAATTATTTGCTGGTGTGTTTTGGTGATCTTGATGTTTTTCCTTCCAAATGGCATCATCAGCTTCTACGGTAAGGCCAGTTTTCTGGAGGAGTCTGCAACTTATAATATATTCTATTTTTCGATTTTCTGATGATGATTGTTCCAATGTGAAATTATTTGTTGTCTTCTTTATGTACCAAGTGTTCTAAGTTATGATGTAGATTTTGTAGCATGGTCTAGATAATTGACAGATTTTTTGTCTTCCATTGCAATGAACCTTTAAGGGCTTCACGAAAAAGTGTAATATAATATAGCTGGAATATTACTCTGAGTTCTCTGGTAGTTCTTGATGATAAAAGATTTGATTAGTTGTGGGAAAGGGGAGAAAGGTAGTATAGGGATAGAAAAAGGAAAGGCTGTTTCCACATCTTAAGCGTTGTGATGACAAGAGGTATCCTTCCATAACCAATCTCTAGTTGTAACAACATTTTTTGACTACCTGGCATTCATTGAATAACAGTGAGGTTCCTGAAAATTAGGTGGGTTGTTGAGAGAGTTAGGCCTGTGTTTATAGAAGGGATGTGCTGTCTTAAAATTCATTTGTGCAATTCTTTTTTTTTTTTAAGATAAGAAAAAAATCTTTCATTAATAGTGAAATATAAAACATAAAGATGAACAAGAAGTCCACCCTACAATAAAAGCAGGTTACAATATAATAAGCCAGAGACAATATGCAAGCAGCGGCAATATTCAGCTCTATAAATCAAAAGAGGTATTCATGTAACTACACTGCTTTCCAATCAATCATTTGTGCAATTCTTTGACAATTTGAAAAGACAGTGTGCTTTTTGTTGGGAAAGCAAGGAAGTTTTTGGTTAGGGTGTGGTGTCAATTATCATGCATGTGGTTTTCTTTTGTCACTCTTGTCTCACTTTCAGGCAGTATGAATTTGTGCCAGCCAAAATAGAATTAAATCTCATATATTCTGATTCCTTGTTTTTTTTTTTTTTTTGGTCGTCAGTATTCCAATTACTTGTTAAGGCAAGCATTTAATAAACTGTTTCTGTTGTATTGTTCATTCCTCGTCAATCCAATACCATTATGCTGTGTTTCCTCATAGAGAGATACAATGTAATCATACAAATTGAAGGGGAACAGTTCTGTGTGGGGCTCATTATTAGACATGAAATCATGCCCTTTGGCTTGGTGTCTTTTCTTCTCACTTGGTGGATTTTTTTCTTAAATAAGTATTGGATGCAAAAGTGGACTCACTTTTAAATAGATATAAAAATTGTAATAATATACGTTTTCTAGTACTGAAACAGTGAAACCAAATGACAAAATCTTCTGAGGAAAGACAAGGACCAAATTCAACATGGATTTCGTACCAATCAGAATCTACCAATACATAAGTGTTAGTTTGAGTGACTTTTCCTGGATGGTAGGTGTATTGGCAGAATTCATCACCTGGTTGCCTGAGCATTGTTAAGCCGCAAAGTTTTGTAAGATATTGCCAGATGTAGGAAATACATTTGATATTTGCTTGGGTTTCATGTGCTAATAGAATGTGTTAGTGCAACCTTTTCTCCAGTGTATGCTTTCATTTTAAAAGTTGTGCACTGCCAAGTAAACCTTGGCACATTTGCATTCTCGTGAAAAATTGGATTTAGTTTAAAATTTCTGTCTCTTTGTTGTTTTGTTTTAAAAAAACTACATTCTATGAGTAGCTGTGATGATCATGAATTGGATTAAGCTTACATTTTTGGTTTTTGAATGCAGAGTCCATTTCCAAGTTCGGCTCAGGATTTTTCCTTCTTGTTCAAGTTGTGCTTTTGTTGGACTTTGTCCATGGATGGAATGACAAATGGGTTGGATATGATGAGCAATTCTGGTTAGTTGCAGGCTTGTAGCTATTGTTACCCTCCCACCTCTTAAAGCTAATGAATTTTTTCAGGCCAATCTAGGCTCGTTATTTTTAGCACTATCAGGATTGTAACCTCTCTCTCTCTTTCTATAAATTCTGCAGGTATATTGCTCTGCTTGTTGTCTCCCTTGTTTGTTATGTTGCAGCATTTGCCTTCTCTGGGCTTCTTTTTTATTTGTTTACCCCATCTGGACATGACTGCGGGCTCAACACCTTCTTTATCGTGATGACCCTGATCTTGGTGTTCGTGTTTGCTGTAATCACACTCCACCCTGCAGTAAGTTTTAAGTCTTCCACTTTATGTCATTAAAGCCAGTTATTTCAATTTCTTTATCTTCTCACATATAGATATGCTGCTGTGTTTAGCAAAGGAATTAGTAATGAAAAAACTTGGATATTACCAAAGGAATTAGTATAAAAACACATTAATTCATGCACACAAACATGAATTATCAAAGGTGGGTAGGAATTTATCTTAGAAGCGTCTTTGATACATTTCTTGCTTCTACACTGGTCTATCTAAAGATTTTGGACGAAACATTGACAAGAAGCAGAGCCATGTGACACTATTGATTAATTAGATTTGAGGGAGAATTTCAGTTATTCAGGATAGACAAAGCTACTGTAAATATAGGAACAATCAAGGCTCAATTCTCAACCTCTGATATCAGATCATGCAGCAATGCCTTTACACCGGTGCCTCACAGAGACTAAAATTTTGGTTTTTGAGCCTTGTTAACATTCACGGGGCCATTCGACTCAGGCCTATTGTTCTGTTAAGAGTTTCATGAAAGAGGCAACCTGGGTTATGTGTAGTTGACATTAAACTTGTTTGAATCCATTTTTTACGTTAGTTTTCATTTTGTTTTTTGTCCACGTTTTTTAGGGCTTGGCTTGTTCTAATCAAGTGTGCAGTCTAATTTTCGTTTGTACTACTAACATCACATATTGATTTACGAAATGATAATAACATCAATATATGAACCTTTTGATCAACATATAATGTGCATTGATGCACTCTCAGTTCGTCTAGTTACTAGTACATGAGAACTATTGTGAGTTTGTTGTCTCACTGATTTGCGTGACACGAAATAGGTAGGTGGCAGCGTTTTGCCCGCTTCAGTTATATCTGTCTACTGCATGTACCTCTGCTACAGCGGACTTGCCAGTGAACCAAGGGATTATGAGTGCAATGGTCTTCACAAGCATTCTAAAGCTGTCTCTACTGGTACACTGACTGTTGGGCTCCTTACAACTGTTCTGTCTGTTGTCTACTCTGCTGTTCGTGCTGGATCTTCGACGACTCTGCTCTCCTCCCCAAGCTCACCTCGAGCAGGTCAGTCTTTTCGTTGTCTTCTTTTTTTTCACTGGAAATTTGTCTTGTCAATATATGGATTGTGGGTGTTTGGTTGTGCAATGTTTTTGCATGCCATTGAAGTGAATGCGTTGCAAGCCTGGTACTGACTACTGATGTTTTTTTGTTCCCAAATGTTTGTTAAGAGGAACTGTTTCATGTTAAAAGTAATCTATAGATGCTGAAGTATACATTGGTCTGATGTAAGAATTTTAGGTTGGCATACTTTACTATCTGTTTGTTAGTCTCTCACTGTTACCCTTTATTAGAAAGTAACCATTATTGCTCATAATTGATGTGTTTGATGTTTTGTTCAATTCATAACTGGAAATGTCTGGCAAAAAGGTGTTTTTGGCTATAAGAGTAATAAAAGCACAGTAAAGAATATTTTTTATAACCGTGTGATTAACTCAACGTGATGGACTGACTTCTGCGGAGAGTAACATTTTTATTTTCATAATGAAGGTGAGGACAAGCCTTTGCTTCCATTGGACAAGGCAGATGAGCATGAAGAGAAAAAATCAAAAAAACCAGTCTCATATTCCTATTCTTTCTTCCACATCATATTTTCCCTCGCTAGCATGTACTCCGCAATGCTTCTTACAGGGTGGTCAACCTCAGTCGGAGAGAGTGGTAAGTTGGTGGATGTGGGGTGGCCATCTGTTTGGGTCCGAATTGTAACTGGATGGGCAACTGCAGGTTTGTTTATCTGGTCTTTGGTTGCCCCACTTCTGTTCCCGGATAGGGATTTCTGAGCCTCCTAAAGTGAAGTCCAGACAATAATGTGTCCGTTTGGATGATGGTACGTTTGCATATATGTCCTGAAGATTCTTAGTAATATGTGTGATGTGTAAGAGACTGAATGCACGCCTTAAATTTCTTAATAAGAACAAACTGGTTTGCAACTGCTGCTAGCCTGCTATATATGATTTGATTTCTATTGTGTACATGCTTGCTTACTAATCATCATCCCCATTATTTGTTTGTTGGGAAGAAACGAGAAAGATCCGGATCAATGAATGACAAAGATCCCCATGATAGCCAGTGCCTTCATTTTCCGTTGTGTTCATATGTCTATGGATCCCCCCTCCCCCCTTTGTTTTTGGACATTCCTGCTATCGTCTCAGACACTCTGCCCCAACTTGTCTAATATGTCTGGTACTGGTACTGAGAGAAGGATGAGAGGTGTAGAGAAGATGAAGATGAGAGACTAAAAGAGACAAGTAAATGAAAAATTTTAGAGAAAATTATAAGACAAGGTGATTAAAGAAGAAAGTGACGAGTAAAGTAAGATGCACAAAATACAGAAAAAGTTAAAGAGGTCAGAGATTGGAAGTTTTTGACTATGGGGGCATATTGGAAAATGAAAAGTCTATTTTATAAGGCTGGCCATATAATATATACTTTTCCTAAATAACCCAGTTATCACATCTGATTTAGATAGAGTTGTATTCTTTGATCGGAAACAAACTGGGATTACTTAGAAAAAGACGGGCAATAAGTTCCCATTAAAACCAATTCAAAACCATATGCATGGGAACAGATAGAAACGAATAAAATTAAAACCAAGGATCTTATATTAAATTTAATTCATGCAAAACCCAAATGCATACCATACAAATTAAGGCAAAAGTGTAAAAATAATGTAGAAATTTGGACATGTCAAGCAGAAAACAGTAAACAAAAATAAAAAAGTTATGGCAAATCAACTATACTTCACAATTCCAACCACACCACCTTGGAGATTCAAAAACTATCATGCTCATGGACTACTACAATGGGAACCTGATTTTAATGACCATGTTGGATTGATTAAATAAGTTTGTATTGAATTTCTGAAGGCGTTGTGCGGCTTCTACAAAAACTCCAGACAACACCGATCATATCAATGTGAAACTACCTGAAGTGAAGAAGAAAACAATACAAAACATTATTTTTATAGACTAGAATAGAATTTTACAATTATAAGTTAAAGCTAAAAACCCAGAAAAGCCAAGCCTTGGCATGACATGCACTCAGAAGTAAGAAATGGAATAACAACAGCAATTGCAACAGAAGTAGAAAATAAGAAGCATTCCAAAATGTGAAAGGATATTAAAGGTTCTATTCTTCTATTCGTATTTGGTGAGCATCTGCCTCTGTATGAAATAGTTATAGAATGAAATCCATTTAAAAGCACTCGAAATATTTTCCTAATTTAAATTGCTACATTTGATTTTGTCAATTCTAAAAATCATCGGAAGATTCGAATATTCCAGGGACAAGCACAGTGGGGACCACAACAGAATCCCACAAAAAGATGCTAATTCTGTGGTGACAAAACTGCTAGCATATTAACCCCAATCACGTCAATCCAAAAATCCTCCACCACAAAATAAGTAGTGAAATATAAAAGCAAAACCCAGGGGTTCATGAAAAAGACAAATAAGTCCTCTCCCCCAAGCCTTCTTAAGCAAAAGGTTTTGCACCAGATTCAGTAGCTCAAGAGAAGCAAAATTGTAAATCTCCATTACAATCTTGGCTCAAATGTACAATTCCCCTGGCCATACACTTTACGAGACAAAAAACATGTCGTCAGGTTGTTAAAGCAAGTGGAGCAGAAAGTTTTCATGAGACTGAAATGCCGGAAGAGGAAAAAATTAGATATGGCCAGTGGACCACTCACCAAAACATTTAAGGCAACGGGGAGGAGTTCTGAAGGAACTGAAAATATCTAAGAAGAAAAACAGTGAGGCAGAGCTACTGCGTGTTGAGGTCGTAACTAAGGAACTTGGAGCACAATTAGATCTATAAAAAGATAGAAATCTGATTCTATCTGCAACATAAGAATAACATTTGGTACCTGTACTATAAGAGAGCTAAAACTACCACAAGAGGACAACATAAAAAAAAAATGATAATTCACTGCCCCCTTGCATGCCTACAGATTAGGCCACATTTGTGGGAAAAGCCAAATCTAGAAAACTTTGGAGTAAAATGAAACTTCATAAATTTAGCAGGTGGAATGGTCCACCGCTGATTTATGAAGGAATGCGGCATGGATTCAAAGATCTCAAAGAAAAAAGTACACCGACTGTGAATGAGGATTTGAGGCTCGAGCATCCACATGCCCAATAAAGTAGCCTCCAGCAAAATACCAAGCTTATAAGCAAACAAGATGAAAAAATATCCTGCTGATAACTTGTTCTTGCACCTTGAACTGGCACACAAAACTATATTTATTCTCATATGGCAATGAACTTTCTGGACTTTATATGAGAGAGACTCTACGTGCCTCAGCAAACAAACCCTTGCCCATTTCTAGTAAGAATAACCAACAGAGGAAAAGGCAACTCCAAAGAAAAGTAAAATAAACTAAAAAGCAAACTTCATCCACCATTGACCAGAGATAACAGATATAAACAACCATTAAGGAGGATGAAAAACTTTCACGAACAACAAGACCGGATAGAAACAGAAAACAAAGATGCTGAGTGCAAACCTGAGGAGCAGTAGAAAATGCAATCTGGATGTCTTGTACTCAATCTTCGTAATCTCCAGCATTCTCCAATAAGTAGTTCGCAGCCAATTCCTCATTGCGGTCACAGGCTAAAAAGGCCTCAATAACAAGGGCTCTCTCAAACCCCAGTGCTTCAAGCTGTAAATGGTACAGAAAATCTATTACCATATCCAATAGACCTATCTAAAGTAATATAAACACAGAATGTTTTTCTCTCTCAATAAATATATATATATTTTTTTTTGGGGGGGGGGGGTGATGGGTGGATGAAATCCCTACTCGTTCAATGGCCTCCTGCTCTGCTGGAGTGACACTAATAGCATGGGGCATGTCCTGCTCAGGCTGATCCAGTAGATCCCTAAAAGTGAAAATGTTTGCTATCAATTCACAATAAACAGATTGGAATTGGACCACATCTTAATAGCTGAGATTTGGAATCAAAATAGATATATAAATAGTCCCACGGAATAAAGTTGTTATATTAGGAATTCACATAACAAAAAGAAGTACTGTGTCTTCGACTAGCTGGAGAGAAGGGATTTCTCTTTTATCTTTTTTTGGGTGTGGGTGTTTTTTTTTTTTTTGGGGGGGGGGGGGTGGCGCTCCAAATGCCAGATATGAAGCATAGTAAGGATACATGATACGACATGGTTATACAACAAAACCTAAAAATTAGAACGTCCATACAGAAAAGATCTCTATGTATATTGTATATTCTCTAGTATAGGATACAAAAAATCTAGATAATGTCGACAAACATAGATGAGATTGACAATTTTCACACAAACAACTTTGGCATAGGGGCCGGGGCCAATATGGGGTTGTAAGGAGGTCTGGGACCTTCTGAGTTTCTAGAGAAAAACCACACAGAATCTACTTATATTGCAATAGATGATATGATGCTCAGTGCATTAAACAACTCAATAAACTATAATTGACCAAAGAAAATAATAAAGACTTCATCATTTCGGCATTTCAATAGGCATCTCAGCTAAAAGATCAAATTAATGACAATGCACCAAAGATGTTCGAATCAATCTTGGGTTTTCAATTCCTAAATGTGTCCAATCTCAAACTTGAGGCTTATGACATGTTATAAAAGGGGCTAACATTGCAACATAATAGATCACTCATTTTATGGTAACATGCGATGAGCTTTAGTTATGAACATTTAAGTTTGAATTCCCTCTCCTCCACCGCTGTGCAGAAAAAAAAGATATCAAAAGCAGCATGATGCTGCGTCAATTGGAGAAAATACCCTACTAATGGAGCATCTACTGTGTTCAGATCAGACAAGAAGAGATCAACTCGGTGCATATTTGTGTTTTTTAAAACACATACTTATTTTATTTACTTCAATGCACTCATTCGGAGTAAAACATTTGTATATCTAGCCCAGCCGTATCCGGGTATCTAAAATCATTGGTTTTGTATCCTTGGCAATTCCAAAATGTTTGAAAATGTTTTAATTTCTTGGTAAGTAAATCATACATCTGACACATCGGTCGTATCTGTAATCAATATATATTGGATACTGCAACAAACCTAGATGGAGTACGGGTATCATATTATGACAAAAAAAAAAATCAAAACAGACATAATGACCACAGATATACAGCAAAGGGAATCAAATGAATGAAGTGCAAGGAATAATATTAAAACACCTAGTTAATTTTCTATGGCACCATACTGATCCTCAAGTTCAATAGTCTTATACTCTTATACAACCTCATTTAGACTTTCAAAAATAAAACTGACTGCCTAAAACAATTGAAGTAAACCAAATAAAGATTTTCTACTAGCAATCTTTGCGAATGCAGAAGATCAAGTATTCTTAGTCCCTATAATTAACTAATGATACCATAATTACTCACCCTTCAGAACCTTCAACTGGTTCATTTATTAGTTGTAGGAACTCTGCGTGGTGCTCCTGAATCATTCTTAAAAGTTGAGGGTTTTGCTTTCCTAGCTCCTGAAGCATGGGCTACAATAGAAGAAACAGCTTACAATCTTGGAAACTAAAAATAAGAAAGAACCAGAGAAAAGAACAGACAAATAAAGACCTGTAAAATTTGAGGATTTGATTGCACCATTGAACGCAGCGCTTGGAACTGAAATGCAAAGAAAGCAAAAAAGATAAGATCACAAATATAGTGTCATTTGAAAACCAGCAAATGTGCCAGCACCTAATATAATATAGTTTCTAGATGGACAACCTTATACAGGTAGAGCATGAGTTAAAGGACTTAATCTAACCAAATTATCACCAGGCAAGCATTACTTAAAGCAGGTTCGGCACTTCCAACAAAAAGCTTTGACACAACAATCCCGTAAAAGATATAGAAGGAAACCAACCTGTTGGTTGTTTCTAAGGAAATCAAGGGATCCAAGACCACCACCACTAGCACCAGAAACTGTTTCCTGGATATATTTGAATTTTTATAATGTAAGATGTGAATAAATATACACAGTGACTCTATCAGAATGATGATGTTAGACCTGAGGAAACAAATTCAAGGGAGAAGAATTAGGTGCCCCAGAAACAGGTGCAGCTCCTGCTGCACTTGCTTCAGTAATGGGACTGACACCACTAGTTGCCTGATTGGCAGGAAAATGAGCCACTGGTACTGCAACTTCAGTTGTTTCTGGAATACCCTGAGAAATAGAATGGTGTGAAAGGCTAAATGCAAACAAAAAGTTAAAAGGAGAAAATTTGGAGCACATACAGAATACAAGTAATCTACAGCTCGCTCAGGGTTGTTGTAAGCAGCACGGAGTGCACGGGTAACAGTTTCCTTGTCCCAATTGCCACCACCTATATCCATTATCTGTTGAATAGTTTGCTCAAGACTATTACCAGCAACTAAATTTGAAGCAGCTTGACCATATGTATCCGAAGGAGCACTGCAGCAAAGAAAAAGTTAGTGGCATAAATTTCCTCAACAACATGCAGCATGACACCTTCATTCACGAACATAAATATACAGTATTATAACATTTACAACAAATATATACACATATATCATTGAAGTGAGCGAGAGGAAAACTGTACAACGAATAGAGCCATACCTAGCTGCAGCCACCTCAGAAGCAGATGCAGTGCTCTTAGCAGCCCTGCAACACAAGTATTCACAAGATGCACGAGTTGAATCAAACTTATCTCAAAGTAACATCTCACTGACTCTTGTCATTTTAACTCACAGAGGTTGTGAAGGAGCTTCGGGTGCTGGAGGAGGATTCGTAGATGGTGCAGTTGTCGAAGCAGGCTGTCAAGATATAGGGAGAGTGATTGTGTCATCACAAAGAACAGAAAAAATACACAGATTATCCCTTAAAAAAGGAGCACACTGAAAGAAGTTACCTGGGTAGATGATGTCCCGCCTGACCCAGAAGGTTTACTCTGGAGAAAAAAAGATGACAAAAATATGATCAATATCATATGATCTCTAAAGGATTAGTCGACTAGACATGGACTAGACATAAGGCTTCAAGCTGAAAATCCTTGTAATGAAACCACGACATATATATGTATATACATATGCGGGTGTGTGTGCATACATATGTATATATGTATGTACACACACACACACACACACATATATGACTCTTATGTGCAACATGACAACAGTAAAGAAAAGTTTACCTTGCTAAGCATGACAACCAGAAAACCATCTTCAGAGACCTTGTTCTCTGCCAGTGTACTATCGTCTTTCAAGACCTTGCCATTATGAATCAGTAATTGTTGTCCACAAGGGTAGTTGTCTTTCCCTTGTATATCTTCAATGTTTTTCTTAACCGCCATAACCTAGGAATGATATGATGTTGAATTTCAATCAACCATGAACAAGAGTCTGAATGAGTCATTCAAATTCTACAGCATACTAATCAACCAATAGTAGTTCAATGCTACACGACAGGTCAATGTACATATCTATTACAGCTTATTTATTCCAATATAAAACAACTTGAACATAGGAGGCCTGACTAAGACTACATTGACTCAAGTTAATGGCCCCATCATACTAGGAACTTTTACACCTTTTCCCTCCCAGATTGACTTTCTTCTCAATTCTTCCTCCTCCGACTACCTATCACCAATATTTCCCACATTTCCCAGTACCAACTATGGAAAAAAACACCAAGCAAAGAACGTATTTTTTTCAAGAAAAAGTAGTCATATGTTGGAGATCCAAGAGAATGTGTTATGCAAAGTGCCTAAATTTTCCGATTCACTTTTTAATTATGGAATTTTAGTGAAATGGATGTGCCACCATAAAGGCTCAAAGTCAGCAAGATATGCCATACTGAACCAAAATGCCCACATTATCAGAATGCCCCATTATACCTTCCAAAAAAAAAAAAAATGCCCACATTATCTCATAGATCCAGAAACACCCCTTTGTATGACTTTTCGGTTTGTCAGCCAGTAAGAAAAGAGTATTAAAGTTTTCAGCTTGCATTATCCTAACACTCCGTGTAGCTGTTGTGAGAACTACGGAAAATAAAACCTGAAGAAAATCGTATTGCATGTTTCGAGCTTCCTCAATTTCTGACATTATTTTCTCTGTTAACAGCCATTAGTGTTCATCCATGAAAATGTCCAACATAATTGCCAAATTAACAAACAATTTATCTGATATTTGAAACTAAATCGGTAACACGAACGTTTATGTGCAGCGAAATCATAAATTTACATATAGATTATGGATGGATAAGAGAGAGGGGGACTCACAGTGTCGGAGGGTTGAACCCTAATCTCGAAGTGACTACCTTTGAGAGTCTTCACAGTAAGCTTCATCTTGGTGAATTAGTGGGTTTTCGATAGACTATTCGGAGAGAGAAAAAGAAATTTGAATGCAAATGGTGAGAAATGGAAACCCTAAGACAGAATGCTACGATGGATCGGAGAATCACAAAGAGTGTGTTCGAAGGAAAAAAGATGGAGGTTTTATTTCCTATTAGAGAATATTACATTTTGACCCCCTTCAATTATAACTTTTTAAGTAATGTTAAATAGATTTAAAATGCTTATTTGATTAATCACAGATTGATCAATCATGGTCATTGATTTATATTATATCATCAATCATGTGATTAATTTTATATTGTCCTAATTATTAACATCAGGGGGAGAATTACATTTACTTAATCACTTAGACCATATCATATTTAAAATATTACATACAGACTCTTTTAAGGTTTGTATACGCATATAACAATTAGATTCCTGCATAAGGTTAGCCTTGGTGTGCCTATTCCCATTCAAAGAATCGAAGTATTTGCATACCTCGCAATGATCATAATCTCTGCATGTCTCTCATTATCAAGTCTTTGTTTATGAAACCGATTAGGTGAGACAAAATTGATCATTCGATGACACACATAGATTAAATGTAATATATGTTTTAATCTATATTTTATGCATTTTTTTTTCATTTCTCAAAAATCGTGTGGTTAGTTTCTAGGTGTTATCGTAGTAAAAATATTTAATCTTACAATGTGGTGTCACATTTTTTTTGTTGGTAATTTAGACATCTAATATATAGTAAATATTACATGTGTGTTAATTCATACTTATGTTATGAAACTGTTCAATAGTACAATTCATAAAAATTGTAAATATACATAAATCATCATGACTAATACACTATTTTTAGCAAATAAACTTACACATCTATATGTCTCCCTCGTCCCTCGCTTGATTCGCACTTCTCGAATCTCTCAAGTAGCCTATTTGGGGTGACTTGATACACTTTAAGTTCATACCGTTGACTCTAAATAAATTTTTTTTAATATTAATCTTAAAATAAAAGTTTGCTTTTTGAAACGGTGATTATTAGTCAAGTTTTGTAGTCAAGTTTTATACACATATTTTTCAATTGATCAAATAACTAATTCACCTAATCTTTCAAAATTTATGAGATATATTCTTATTCATTACCAATTTAACCTAATTTTTTTTGTTATGTTGTGTCTATTACTAACGAAAAATATATTTAAGAATATTTTATTTAAAATTCAACAATTTTTAAAATCTTCTCTTCTTCAAATTTTTTCCTATACAAATATTTGTTTTCTAATTGTTATATTTACAAAAAATTAACTAAACACTTCTACGATAAGAAAATATTATTATCTTAAAATTATTTTTTTAAAATTATAAAATGATCAGACTTAATATATTTTCGTGACATATGAAATTAATATATGAAACAAGAAGTCTCCCTTAAAATTGTTTATAAAATCTTTCCACATATATTTAAGTCAACGGCGTGTGTGGTGATATCGTTGGGACCAGCCACACTGTACAGAGTTGTTATGTATAGGTTCATAGATCTTAATGGATTTAACGTAGATTAGATACTTGGATGAATAACCAACATTCATAAACATTATCATCGAATAGGATGGTCTAGTGGGGTATTGACCGAATTTTTTATTTTAAGATTGGAGATTTGAATTTTCAAGTCTACATTAAAATTCGGTAGTTGACTGTTATACTAATTTAGTTAAGTTCGTTTTCAAGAAAAATAACGGGCATGGTCAAAAGCGTTATGATCCCACTAATAAAGGCATATTTGGGTGGTCTTTGGGTGCTTTCTTTTCTCCACCCTTTTTTACTTAGCAAAACAACAGAAAACGTTCAATAGTCAGAGGTGTCCAGACTAGCTTACATGCATCTTCATTAATCCTCTTCTTGATCTGATCAAAAGTAAGGTCATCTACGTCAGAACTAATATATTCATGAGATAAATCTCTCATTGTTTGATCTAAAAAGATTGCTAAGCATTTAACTAGCAAGCATTTACGCATTTAGTGTGAACTATTGCCCCAACCAAAAATTACATTATTAATTATTTTACTATATATAATTTGGGTTCTTACAATTCTAATTCAATCAAACGGACTTGACTACGGTATTGAAGTAATAATTTCAGTACTGTACCTTCATTTTTTATCACTTTAATGAGTGTTTTTATAATTTTTGTGGGTTATTTTACAACCAAAAAATTTATTACTTTTATGGATGATTTATCACTTTTGTGAGTATTTTTATCATTGTTATGTTAATTTTTATCACATTTGTGATAATTATTTTTAACATTTTTTTTAATACAAAAAATTTACCACATTTGTGGGCATTTTTACCACATTTATAGATGTTTTTACTACTATTTTGATAACCATTTTTACCATTTGTTTTGGGGTATTACAACAATGATAAAAAGATCCACAAATGTCCCAAGAGTATCCAAAAAAGTGACAAATAGAGATAAGGTACCAAATTTTTTTTTAGGTACCATAGTCAAACTCCCGATCAAACCAATACACTCGTAATTCAAACTAACCGACACAAGACTTGGGGCAAGCCTGTAACAAAAAAGAGAGAGTCATATTTCAACTAAAACTCAAAAATAATAACCCTATTCAAAATAAACTTTAGGAGTCGATCTGCACCATATAAATGTCCATCAATTTCAATGAATATTATTTTTTTGTCACACGTAAGTATTTTTGGAAGGAATAGATGAGAGCAACGTCCATGGCTGTGAATAATCATCCCCTTGAGGATCAAAGATTAGCAGGAGTCAATGAAGAACTAGAATGGAAGAGATACATTCCATTAGGGTATACGTTTTATCCAACTGATAAAGAGATTTTTGACTATCTGAAAGAAAGGGTGCGTGGGGAACACATCTTGCCTGAACTCATTTACGACACAGATGTCTATCAGTGTAAACCATCTGATCTTCCAGGTATTAGTTACATGTCTCCCATCATCTCTCCCATCACGTTACTGCTTACTATCCCAAGCCACCACCCAGCTAGATCAAGAAGAAGGTTATTTTGACATAAGTTTTTTACGGTGACAATGTTCATAATCACAAAAAAGCGTGTTTTAGAAATTTTTTTTGTGACTATAAAAATTTTATTTTTTGTTATAAATATTATTTGAGACGGGTTGTTGTGACCGTTAGAAAGATTTTTTGAGACTGTACTTGTCAACACCTTGCCGTAACAACTGGAGCCACAAAAATTATTTTTGAGACTGTACTTGTCAACACCTTGCCGTAACAACTGGAGCCTCAAAAAATTTTTGTGGCGACAAGAGTCCATCTCACATAGTATTTATGGTAACAAATAAACCTTTTTATGATATATTACTGTTACAATAAAACAGTTTTTTCTTCAAAGCATGCTTTTTTGTGTTAAAAATTGTCTCAAAAGATCCTCATTCTTGACGGGACTAATACATATTCCACAATGTTATCCACTTTGATTTGTTGTATTTTTTGACATTCTGATTAAACTTATGTTTTGTTTATGGCTTTCTTGACATTCTTGTTTCAAATACGTGCATGTACAATGAAGGCTTAGATAGAGAATCAGAGTACTCGTACTATTTTACGCCGAGAGATCGAAAGTATCCAAACGGAAAACGACTTTGTCGGTCTACAAAGGATAATATTGGGTATTGGAGAATGACCAGCAAGCTTAATCCACAAACAGAGTCTGATGGGTCACCCTTAGGGAAGAAGAACACCCTGGTTTACACCCTCAATGCGAAAGGCGTATATGGCAATGGTTTCAAGACGGATTGGATAATGCATGAATACGTGCTCGATGAAATTCGATACCCGGTAAGACCATAAACGTTCAACACAAATTGGAGCTTAAAACGAAAAATTTAAATAATGTTTTAATAATTTTTAAAATAAATTTTATGATTTAAATCATTATACAATATTAATTATACTATTTATTGTCTTTTGAGATGTGGAAGTATTAATTAGATTTTTGCATTCAAATTTTGTTAACATATTATTTTCTATAAATAGTATAATTAATTTGAACAAAATGTGATACCTGATATAATAGTAAGATAGATTTTACTAGATTTAATCTTAATATAATTAATAAATAATAAAAAAATTGTAAATAATATAGCATTATAACTTAAGCTAAATATCATAAAATCTAATGTTGTTATTAACAATATAAACAAATTCTCAACAAACTCGAATCAAATCTAAAAAAACTTTAAATTTTAATTTTTTTGAGCACTAAAATAAAATTGAACATGTATCTAAAAATTTATTTGAAAATTAAATTTAATTAAACCTCCATAAAATGGGGCATTAATAATTCGACGGCCTAAAGCCATTGAGGCGGCCTTGCGTACTATGTAATGTACGCTTTTGGACAAGTCTCAACCCACAAGCATGACACGAAAAAAAAAAATAATGTGAATAGATTTGGGTTGGTTAAACAACATAAGGTTTAGGTAGTAATTGGGTGGATCCAATAAACCCGCCTAATAAATTGATCGATATGAATCTGATTAAAAATGACTTATACACACATTTCGCGATACAAAATTTTAAACAGAACTTAGCACGACTTAGAAACAAGACAAAAACATGGCTCATTAACAGCCTTACGTATATATAGATATATATGAACAAATAAAAAACTCAGTCTGTTATAATAAAGCTAATGTCTAACTGTGTTATTTATATATGCAGATGAATGATGTTGTGCTGTGTAGAATTTATGAAAAGAAATCAAAGCAAGTAGGAAAAGAAAGAGAACAGAGCCCCAGTGAGTCCCAAGGAAGGTTGTGTACTGAATCATCAGTTGTAGCTCATCATCAAACAAATCTTATTGAGAGGAAGCAATCACCAATCCATCACATAGTACTTGAGGTTGGCGAACCGAGCTGCGGTGGCCAATGGAACACCCCACAACCTTATGAACCAAGCAAAAAGTCCAGGCACTTGGTTGGTGAACCTTGCCAATTACCCACAAAGTCTAGTCCTTTTCAGGCTCAATTGTGCCAAATAAGCAGGCTTGACCACCTGATTTCTGAAAGGTCTGCATTGTGGGTTGGTAAGTCAAGTGTAGCTTCCCAATTGAACCAAATACAACCTAGTCAAGAAGAAGCTGCTTTCAGGCCCTTGAGTGCCAGACAACCAATATGGGGGCAAAATAGTGAGACAATTTCAGGCCTAGTAGTTGGCAACTCTATAGCACAATCAAGTCTGATATCATCCATGGTTGACAACGGAAGAGAGAGCAATCTACCTACTAATCCAATAGTGAATCATGTGTTTGCAGATGGAAATAGTGTATAACAGATGTCATGTGAGTCCTCAAATGGCGGGTTTCAGAACAACCTTGTTTTCAGCAATAATGGACATGATCAGCAACCACAGAACAACTTGAGTGAAGAGTACTTCAATTTTCAGACACAGATGCCATGTGAGTCCTCAAATGCCTGGTTTTCGAAAAACCTTGTTTGCAGCAATGGACATGAGCAACAACAGAACAACTTGAGTGAAGAGCACCTCAATTTTCAGACAGGCAGTGTTAGAGGAAACCAACGGCCAACCATCGTGACATCGATGGCTGAGCTTCTTGCTCCATCAACAAGCAGCTCGGCCGCCTTTTCACAAACACCAGATCAAATAACACTAGAAGAAGCTGAAGCGTTCTTGCTTGGATGTTGATGTGTTTTCTAGTAATAATTTAGATTTTGTTTTGATCACTGTTAGCAATAATTTGGATTAATGTTTTATTTTTTTTGTATTAGATGAAGTATAAAATTTTGTTGAATTATGTCTTTGGTTGCATATGTGAAGGCAATTTACTTGTTTTTTCAAATTACTTGGTTGTTTTCAATGTGGTATGCATAAATGTTTCAACTATATCAATCCATAAACCATGGAATTTTGTATTGGTTATTGAAATTCGATCAAATCAATCGAAAATCTCATCATCTGTTAGGTGAGCCAACCGACTGAGTTGGGGGTTGGGCATCCATTGCACATAACCTTTCTCTAGCCAAGAGAAGAAAAGAACAACATTACACAATGCTATTGGACTTTTACTTCATCCATCCAACAAATGTCATGACAATGTTACACAATGCTAAATTGGCTTTGACATTTTTTGTATGTTGGTAAGTACCTTTGATGTGTTATCGAGGCATGAAGATTATGATATTTTGCACATTCATCAATTAAGATTACATATATTTATGTACAAATACACTTGGAAGCAATTACATAGTCATCTGCCATAGAATGATTCCTCTTCATCAAGCCTTCCATGAGTAGTGATCCCTTCATCGAATCACTGGTCAAAAAAATCTGTAGCAAATGTTGTGTGTTCGACTCTTCTTTTTGCTACAAAGTTTATGACCAATATATGTATCGTCCACCAACAAATCTTGATGGTCTTATGCAAATAGCAATTTCCCAATTGATACTAAATGCGACAAACACTCATCTTTTTATAATAAAGTTGATCGATCACACATCGAATCAAACACAGAGGGACCTTGAGAAGATTTGTGGGGAAGGTTATAGTATAGTGACTAATCTGTTTTTGGAGGCTCTCCAATATTTCAATAATAGGGAGTACCACAATGTGATTTTGTTCGCATCCAAGGCAAAAAAACCAGTAAATGACTGCAAAAATAATGTCAAGAATCACCAACTGGATCTGATGAACTATCAAATGAATATACTCATCAACATGGCAATCACAGCTACCATCCTTCTTATGTCATGAGGCAAGTCACCCATCAACCATTTAGTCTGTTTCTTCTTTGTTTGTTCTTAATTGATCACCTTTGTCTAATCATGTGAGTCCTTCATTGGAATGATATGTGTGATGAATGAAATATGAGATATTATCATAACTTTTATCTGTTGATCCATGTCTGTGTGTGCTGAGTGTGTTGTTTGTTGAAGGAAAACAAATCAGTACAAAAGGGGTATGACTATACTGAATGTTACTATAAAGTAAGGATTATATTACTACTTCGTCTTTGTGCGGTTAGGACAAAAATATAGGTGTTTTGAGTTCAATATCTTATCATTCTAGGATCGATTCTAATTTTTTGAATTTGTCACTTCACTTCCTTGAATCATAACTTGACCCAAATGAATTCAGAACAATCTTAAATTTTGGGTTCGAATACTGAGCTTGGATTCTTGCTCAAACTCGGCTCATTTTGTATTTCGAGCTCAAATTCAATCTCAAGGTCAAATAAATATTGAAAAAAAATACAACCAGTGAGATCTAAACTCACAATCTTTTTCAGAAAAGTAACATATATTAAATGTAACAGAGTTACATGTGAAAAGGGGCATACCCATGTTTTGTTTACAAGCTGCACAAAACAAATCTGTGAGAGGTCCAAGCTTAGAGGTTTAGCTTGAAAAAAATCATTAAAAAAACTATTTTAACAGGGTTTAGCTTTAAGAAGTTTCAACAAAATAGAAACAAAGCTACACAAAAACATAATCAAACTAAATTGACTATACCAAATAAACTTATGCCATGATACCACATTCGTTCTGAATTCTAATTTGTTCCCACAATAAAGAAGAGGAGAATGCACCATTATCGAGACAAGCGACACGCTACTATGGCTCAGATTTAAAATTAAACGAGTTTCAAATTTTCACCACATTCGATTCAATATAATATGAAAAAATTTGAAGAAGTTAAAACTAAGTCGAGATTGAGTGACTTGGTTTGTTTGACAATCCTAAATGGAGCCAACGTGCCTAGTTCTACACACAGTGATCGAACATCAGTAAGTGAATAGACACGTATGTGATAGTTTAAAGCAATTCTGTACTACCCTTGCCAAGCAACAAAAGAAAAGAAAAGATTGTATGACTTCACCAAGCTGCAAATTAAAATGAAAGCTTTCAGTATGATAGAAAAATATAGAAAATCAGAAAATATGACATTGGATAGAAAACAATAGAGAAATATGATTCACGTAACTAACCTGAGATAGTTGAGACATGATATTTTCGGAACTCTCCCTGCCCAAAACTAATTTTCTGTTGCCACTTTTTTTTCGGTAAGTGAGATGAAATTTCCATAAAACCGAAAAGGGATCATATACATAGGTGTATATCCAAGGGGATAGTTAATCTTCTAGACAGTTGGATAGAAGATCTTTCATCCCCATAGCAAAAGAAAACATAAAATTACATTTCCAAAATAGAGTAGAGCAAGAAACAGTGTGCAAAACAGAGCACCCTAAACATCAAAGCATGGACAGTAGCTAAGCAGAACCATCCAGAGCAATACAGCATCATCAGGATCATGCCAATCATCAGAAACATGGACGAGCTGTAAACGCAGACGTCTTAAGTTCAAATCTTGACAACTTTTTGGGGCCAGACCATGAATTTATTTCTTATGAATAACCTAGTTCTGGTGTAGATGGTTTCACTTTAATCGAACAGGGGAGGGGATTAACCGAGGTGCGAGTAATGACAAAAAAAAAATCCACACAGGCTAAAAAAGACATCAAAAACCAACCCAGCACTAACACAGCAGCAACATAACAGCCAGCAGCCAGCACTAACCAGCTGCCAGACCAGTGACAACCACGACATCCTGAGGCAGCAGCAGGAAACAAGGAGAACAAGGAGAAAACAGCAGGCATACAGCACTATCAGCAACACCAAGCAGAGAGGGAGTCAGCAGTCACACTCCAACACCTTCATTCCCACCCCTACACAACCAATCAGCCATCACAGTACAAGTAAAGGACCCCTCAGAGAGGTAGCTGCCACTTATAAAAATATGACCTACACCTAAATATTTATAGTTTAAGACATTAGGCCACTTTTCTGAAAAATATTAAGTGATGAGATTTGAACTTCTGACTCCTTCCCCAAAAAAATGACAGAAATGTTTTATCAAAATGCTAGAATCGGTTTGATATGTTCTCGTTGTCTGAAGATTATGATATTCATGCCTATGAATATACCAGATTACATATAACTATAAGCAAATATATTTAGAAGCAATTATATATGGTTACTGTGTTAAGATGACCTTGACTTGCAATTTAATAACCCCAAAAAAAGCATTGACTTGCTATTGAGGAAATGACGGAACTGTATTATGCTCATGCATGTGAATTCATGATGATTAGGAATATCCGAGCACAAATGTCTTTAAAAGTAAATACACGGTCACAAAGTTAGAATAACATTGACTTTCTAGCGAGGCATGAAGATTATTGCGATCCCACAAACAAATACAATCTATAGACAAATGTATGTATTTACAAGCAATTCCATGGTCAAAACTAATAATTCTTGAATTCACCATAAGGAAGATTTGTACATATGGTGAGAGTATTATTGCATTTATATATCTTCTTCACAATGTTAAGGGTACAAATATGAGCCCTCTCTCCAAACCTATCACCAAAATCCACTCCATTTCATCTCTCCTAACTTCAAACTTGAGAACACTAAAATGGCTTTTTCTTCTTCTTGTTACCCTCTACTACTTCCTTTAGTGATCATCCTCTTCTTCTTCTTCATACAACCTTCCATGAGTATTGATCCGAGAACTGAAGCACTAATCAAACAAATCTGTAACACATGTTGTTCATCTGACTTTTATTTTTGTTCCTCAGTTTTCACCCAACACATTTTAACTCCATCAACAAATGCTAATGCTTTGACTCAACTAACAATTTCCCAATCATTACTAAATGTAACAAACACTCACCTTTTTATAGTGAAGTTGATAGATTCAACTTCAGATAAAACACAGAAGGACCTCTACACAATTTGTGCGGCAGGTTACAGTATAATAACGGATCTTTTCGTGGACGCCTTTAGGGAATTCAATTCCAGGGATTACAGAGCTGTGCTTTCTACTGAATCTAAGGCAGAAAGACCTGTTAATGATTGTAAAATTATTTTCAAGAATCCCCCTTTGGGTCCTAGGAATTGGCAAATGCAAATCCTCATCAAGATGGTAATAACCACTGTCAATCTTCTCATTAGTGGTGGCCAATGAAAGTGTTGCTCATCAACATGGCAATGCTCACTAGGAATCTTCGTGTGACTCAATGAGCACCCATCAGTCCTTTAGTCTTTTTTCTTCTTTGTACCTTGGTCTAATCATGAGAGTTCTTCATTGGAAGGACATATATGATATATGAATGAAATATGATAATAACTTATATCTAGGTTGAAGCATGTCTCTTGTGTGTGTGTGTGTTTGTGTTGAAGGTAGTTTACACTACCTTGGATTATATATGCAGCGATTTGGATAAGACTCGACTCAAGGCGAGCCAAACTTGAATAATTTTTTAGACTCTTTTTGGGCTTGACTCATTTTCTAAACGAGCGGAGTTTGAACAATTATTTAATCTCGTTTAGAAAAGTGAACACAGCAAACTTGACTCAAACTCGTAAAGTTCGGCTTGATTATTAGCCATAATTAAGACTTATTAACTCATCACCAAAAATACCATTGGAGCCAATTATGATAAAATGACTTTGACATGTAATGGAGGCCTGAGAATTCTTATGGGATTATGAGAGTATGAATCTATAAAGATTACATATATCCATGCACAATCATCTTTCAAAGCAATTGCAAGGTAACTATAAACTACTAATAAAAGTACCTTAATATGAAAAATTTTTGATTCTCTATTTTACTCTTA